AAAAGGACAAATATTTCATGACTCCATTTTTATGAGGTATTTTGAGTAGGCAAATTTATAGACAGGAAGTTAAACAGGTAAAATAGGGTCACTAGGGGCTGGGGGAAAGGAGGAATGTGCAGTTGCTATTTAATGGGTTCAGAGTTTCCTTTTGAGATAATGAAAAAGTTACGGAAATGAATAGGTAGTTGTGATGGCTTTACTACATTGTAAGTGAACTTAGTGCAACTGAATTGTAAACTTAAAAGTGATAAAAATGATAGACTTTATATTTTACTGCAATAGCAACAGACATTGAGACATAATTTGGACACTCAGTTTGTTCTTTTTACATTATCACACTCTTCCATTCATTACTAAAAAGGAAATAGCTGCACAGCGTTCTGGCCTTTAGTAAGCCGTAATGGAATGCGTGCAGTCTCTGTGACTCATTAAGCCACTTCCTGCGGTTTGGTTTGGCTTGGTTTCAGCAATGGGCTGCTTACCATTCTTTGCTTTTAGCATGGCTCTGCCCTGGGGTACTACGGCACTGCTTTTTGCTTCTGTCTCCTCTTTCCTTTGGCTGGGTCCTCTCCTTCCTGTGAAAGACACCTGAGTGACATTGTTCCCCGCCTTTGACCCGAGGAGGTGAGTCATGACTTCGACTCAGTCGTCCCTCCTGAGAATCTGAACTAAGACACAGAGAATGTTCCTAGGGGGCTGTGGAGAGTAAAACCAATGAAATGTCGTTCAGTCTGGTCCACAATTTCTTTAGCCGCTCATCTATGGACACGGTGTTATCTCATCAACCCAGAAATGATCTGAAGCCGTGGCCTCAGCCCCAAATCTGAGTGGCCTTTGAGTTTTACTCTTTGTAAAACAGTGATGGTGAACCTTTTAGAGCTTTCAGTGATACAAATAGTCCACTGTGTGCAAGGGCCATAGGTTCGCCACCACTGCCCTAAAACTAAACCAAAAGGACACAAGGAAACTTGGGGCGATGTTGGATGTTGTCTGTTCCCATGATTGGTCAGACTGTCCGAGACAGGGTCTCACTATGTAGTTCAGGCTGGTCTTGAACTCACCACGTAGTCCAGGCTGGGCTCAAACTCATGGTGATCCTTCTGCCTCAGGCCTCTGAGTGTTGGGATTACAGGCCTGTGGATCAGACTGTTTTCATATATCTAAACACATCCAATTGTACATGTTAATTTTGCAGTTTCGAATAGCAATTATACCTCAGCAAAGCCGAGAAAGGGTTTATGAGTGTTTAGAAGGGTGACATGAATGTGTGGAGGGAGGCAGGGGACGTGGAAGGGTGCAGAGGGCACGGAGGGAAGAACCCAAGAGCCTCTGAGAGATCTTGGTTCCTCAGTTTTCTGATTCCTGTAAGGTGATGGTGGTGACCTATGGCACGTGTGAAAGCTCTTGAAGATTGGCCAGCACTGCTATAAGATAATAAATTCATGCTGGGGAAGGTTACCTGGCTTACAGGTAGGGACCCATGCAAAAGCTCCCAGCTTGGTATCTTCAGATAAGAGGTCTGCCCAGAGTGGCCCCAAACTCCTGGACACAAATGATCTTCCCGCCTCAGCCTCCTGAGCAATAGATTTTGTAGGGGAACTGAGGCTGTGACAGACGGGAGGCCATTGGGTGAAGGTAAACTCTTGAGTTCACTCCAGATCAACAGCCAGATCCCTGAGGGTGAGCCCCGGGAAATCCTTCCCAGCAGAGAAGGTCCTGGTGGCCTGAGCCAGGAGAGTGGTGCTGACCCTGGGGGACCCGTCTTGTCCTGAAGCCCTGTATCCGCCACTTGCTGCTTTTAGTGGTGAAGCAAGGGATTGCTAGTGTGGATTCCAGTGCCACGCAGCTTGGATTCAAGTCCCAGCCATGGCCCTAGTGTCCTTGGGCAAGCCCCTCATGTCCCAGTGTCCCCATCTATAGAACGGTGACTACGACAGTAGCTCATGACTACGAGGATTAAATGTGTTCACGGGGCAGTAACCTGCCTGTCCCCTTCTCTCTGCTGTTTTCCTACAGGAGCAGCACAAGAGCTCATGGCTCACCTCCACCCGTGTCTTTGTCTTTTTGGCCCCTCTTGGGTTGTGGGTGGCCTGTGCAGCTGCTGCTCTTACAGTGGCTTCTCTGGGACGTGCGCCATCTCGAGCTGCCCAGGCCCCTGGCCTCGCTGATGCTGGAAGCCCCTGCAGGGCAGAGAACATCCCAGGGTGTCCCCAGGAGCAAGCAACGCCCCACAGCCACATCACTGTCCAGCAAGGGACTCCCAGTAGACCATGCTCGTCCCCGTCACCCTCAGCTGTCCTTGCCTCCTGCTCTGAATGCAGCTCAGCCCTGGCTGGACCCCGAGTCTCCTTGGCCATCAGTTCTGCCATTTGGGCTCCACTCCGTCTGCCATTCTTCCCCAGACTTGATGTTCTGTCCAGTTTCCCTGGCCATGTAGTGATCCCAGAAAGAGTCTGGCCCAGTGCCTGCTCATGTCCACAAACACCAGTGACCAGGGCTGCTGTGACAATGCCAGCTCCTCCCGACTGTCTGCTCCCCTCTTGCTATGGTGCTGGCTAAGGACAGATGGGGACCTGCTCCTCCTGGGCCTGGGCTTCCCGTGTGCCCCTCAGACCAGGACTGGTGTTGGGCCATCCCCGGTGGGAGGCTGGGACCCGGCAGTGTGGCTGAGCTGCTGGGCAGGACCTGCCGGTTGAGGAGACTTGTTATCCCCTGCACGGAGCCTGACACGGGGCCTGGCCGAGTCCTGCACCGGGACCAGACTTCTGATCCGAGAACAGGCCAAACCTCACACCTGGAGCCAGTCTTCCAGCCTGAGAGCGAGTGGGACTACCTGCCCCAACTGTCAAAGAATGGCAGCAGGTGACTTTGCCACCCTCTTGTTTTGGCGGTGGTCTGTTCTGCTTCTAGGCTGCATCTTCTCTCTCTCTCTCTTTTTTTTTTTTTCCCTCAAAGCATCCTTTTCTCCCTCTGTTATGGTTTGGGTCTAGATGTCCCGCCAGAGCCTCATGTGGTCAGAGGTGGTTGAATCTAGTGTATGATACTGGGGTTAAGGGTGTGTAATTACTAAACCAGGGCACTGATTGGTTTGGCACCACCCATAGTCTGAATAAAAGAGGCAGAAAGGCTCTGTTAAGGTTCCCTTGCTGCTTTTGCTACTCTGTGGGCACCATGAACTGTTCCTCCTCTGCAGTGCCCTCTGTTGTGTGCCGCTCTGCCATGGAGCCAGCCGAAACCTCTACAGACTTGGAGATGAATAAGCCCTTTCCCATTTGATTTGGGATCTCCAGTATTTTGTCTCAGCAACGAGAAAAGTAACTAACACACCCTTCGTATTTCTTTTGTGCTTTTTCTCCTTTTTTTTTTTTTAACTAGGGATTGAACTCGGGTCCTTGAGGCACGTGGTAGAACCACTGAACTGAATCCCCCGCCTTTTTCTTATTTCTGCCCTGAAATAAACAGTAATCTTTCATATCCACCAATTGTCCTGACCAATTCATTGATCGGGACAAATAAGAACCTGGAAATCATTGAGGCTCGTCCCTACCTGTCAGATAAGAGTGCTGGCTCTTCCTGGTCCCGTTCCCAACTTCCTTTCCTTTCCTCCTTTTCACTTTTCTCCTGCACGTTCTTTCATTTTTCTCCTTCCTTCCTCTCTCGTTCTCTCCTGTTTTCCTTTCAGAGTAGGCCAGTGGTCCTTTCTCATCTGTACCTCAGGAGTCTTTGGTGCTGACAGGAGCCTGAGCTAGGTAAACCTAGCATCATCAGAACCAATGCCCCACACACTTGGGGTTGGTTCCTTTCAAGTAACATTCAAGTTGGCGGTTTTTATTTTTTTGAGACAGAGTATTGGTGGGTAGTTCAGGCTGGATGTGAACTCACTATAGCTTGGAATTTGCAGTGACGCTCCTGCTTCAGCCTCCTGAGTGCTGGGGTTATAGGCGTGCCCCACCATGCCCAGAAAGTTGGCAGATTTTATCCATTTGCTCAAGAAATGCTTACTGAAGAAAGGAGAACTGTGTGCTCAGCCTGGGTTTATGTCTGGGGGTTGCTGAGATAAATAAGACAGATATTGGGCCGGGGATTTAGCTCAGTGGTTTTGCCGCCTGCCTCACAAGTGCAAGGTCCTGAGTTCAATCCCTGGTACCAGAAGAATAAAAATACAAAATACAAAATAAGACAGATATTGTCCCTACTCCCATGAAGAGGTGTGAGGAGAGAAAAGAATAAATAAAACCTGGAGTGGTAGTGCATGACTATAAAATCCCAACACTGTGGAAGGTTGAAATAGGACTGCAAGTTCGAGTCCACCTGTGAAAATTTTGAGATCTTGACTAAAACAAACTAAATAAATAAAAAGGGCTTGGTATGTAGCTCAGTGCAAAGGCCCTGGGTTCAATCCCCAGTATCCACCGCAAAAAAAAGAAAAGCAAACCCCCAGATTACTGGGTGATAAACCCTGGAAGAATACTGAACAGAGCCCTGTGGGAGAAGCTGGCTGGGGCTGTTGGACAGGCTCGCAGAGAAGTGTCTGGAGCGGAGACCTAGATGCCCAGGTATCATTAGAGCCCCAGGCCGGGTTCTCCATAGGCAATGAAATCTCACTCTGGTTGATGCAGATGGACTGTGCTGGATACAATTTGTAATAGGTAAATCTTGGAAACAGCCCAAATGGCCATCAACTGACAAATAGATAGAGAAGATGTGGTCTTTTATATAATGGAGGACTACTCTGCCATAAAGAAGGATGAACGTCAAACATGCAGCCTGAGACCATACTCCTAAGTGAAATAAATCAGACACACATGTGTAAATACCACATTGTTTCTCTGGTGTGAGAAACCAAAAGTGGAAATAAGGACTAAAATGTATAATAGATACTGGGAAGTGGGAAGAAAATGTTCAAATGAGAAGGGAAACAAGGGAAGGTGGAGGGAAAAGGAAAGAAGGGGCAAGAAAAAATAAAAATAGAAGGAAGAAATGGAAACAAAGCTTTTGTACATAGGGAGGAGGGTTTGGGGGGAGGGAAAAGAAGAGGCAGGATATATATCACGTACAGGGACACTGGCCAGCAGGGTGTTGACCACAGTCTCAGGGCAGGAGGATCTGGGTAGAACCCAGCCACCGCTACGCCACAGGGACCTCCAGAGTGGGCCTGGTCACCGCCTGGATCATGAGGATGACCCTCGCCTGCAGGCCAGCCAGGAGAAGTGGAGCAGGTCCTTTCCCACACTTAAGGAACCCTACGTGACCGGACCGTGGCCCGCCTGCCTCCGGGGCCCTGGCTGCTCCCTCCTCACTGAGCAATGTTTCAGCCCAGGAGTCACCATCCGGGCGCCCACACGACCTCCCTGTGTCCACACAGCCTCTCCTCCCCACTCCCTTGTGCCTGTATTTTTTTCCTGTCACCTTCTCACATGTCATTATTGCATTTCGTCTGTGGGTGATCTCATCTACGACTGTGCCAGCTGACTGGCACCAGTGCTAACACTCCACAGCCGTTTGTGGACTCAGTGGTTGATAGCATGGCACACTGCTTTTGTGTGCAGTCTCGGGAGGCCTGGGTTTCTGGTCATGTCAGCGGCCAGCTGTGTGATTAGCACCGCGCTGGAGCTGGTTTCCCCCTCTATAACTTGGTACCTGCCTCAGATAGGTTCTTGACAAGGTCCCAGCTGCCTCACCCTCCTTCATTCTACACATCCCTCCGCTCTAGTAAATGAATCTCCAAACCGATATGAGAGCAGTGTGACGTTTCCATTGACCTTTGGGTTATATGTCGTTATAAATATTAACAAATAAGACTTATAAAGGACACCTCTGGGCAGGTCAGACAAAGTACAAAAATTGTCCTGGGGCTGCAATTTGAGGACGGTTTCTGCAGCCGTCACATGGTAGCAAAACGGTGTGAAGCAGTGTACGAGTCTGCGTCGACGACAGCCAAGAGTCCATGCATCGGGAGGTTCACTCGGTTTGAGAAGGGACAAAGGGCAGCACATGCACAGCCCAGGCTCGGCGGGCGGGCGGGCCGGGGAGGTGCAGTTCCTCGTTCTCGCCACTAGAGATCAGGAGGTTACCGCCTCAGGGTTGGAAGACGGGCCCGTCGGGGATTGGCTAGTGGCGGCGGTGGGCGGGGCGAAGACCTGGGCGCCTTGGGGCGTGCAGCGCACAGGGTGACCTCCTGGTTAGTGACACCTAACTTTGGAACGATTTTTCTTTTTTTGTCATCAGATTTCCTGTCTTTGTTGGGCTAATGGCCAGAGGAAAGATGCCTGTTTGGGGTCAAAGGCAGAGTCGATGCTGCTTTTCAGTGTTTAACAGAGACGCAGTGTGTACTGTGCCTAGGACAGAGCCAGAGCCTCGGACCAGGGGTCACTTCCGGCCAGGGCGCTTCACGTTGCTCTTGAGCTAAGTGGCCAGAAGCCCCGCCTCCCATCTTGACAATCCCTGTGATCACCAGGCACCTTCTTACAGGGCAGCCTGGGGCAGTAGGGTCCTGGACTGGGTGCCAGGAGCCCTGGTTATTTGTCCCAGCCAGGCCCTTTTCCCTGTGTCTAATAAGGACGTCACACTAGATGGGGTCTACACACCCTTTCAGCGTTGCCATTTGGTACTTTCACCTCTTCATTGGCTGCTGAGGCCTCTGTCAAAATGAAGCAAGGGAAAGGGAGAAGATACCTGGTGCTCACCCAGAATATAGGGACCCTTAAAAATAGGTTACCTCCTGCCTTGGGCCCCAGGGTTTCCCGTTCAGGCTGGAGCCCCTTGAGGACCTCTTCAGTCCTATTACCCAAAGGGCCTGTATCTGAGTCCTGCTGCCCCCTTACCCAGCCGTGTGACTTCGGCAAACCACTCAGACTCTGAGCCTCATAAGGGAGGGTGCTCCACTCTTCTCACAGGGTTGATTCATGAAGGCACTGCCTGCCACCCCATGCCACAAGGCAGACTTCCTTCAGGTGGGGAAGCCAAGTTTCTGTGAACAAGTATGGCTGGGTACTGCAAGGGGCTTACAGTCGTTTCATTGCCAACTGAAAGGGCTGATGGGCACTTGGGATTTGAACCCATGTCTCTGGACTTGGTGGTGATGTGCTGTGCTCGAAGCAGAAGGTTCAACTCTCATGCCTGTAAGCCTAGTGTGGGACAGCTGTGGGACTCAGCACACGGGCCTAGCACCCCGTCACCCCTGCAATGTGGTGTCCAGTGTTCGGCCTGGGGTGGGAGCCGAGGATCCTGTCCCAGCTGTGCTAGGGCTTCGAGGCTGGGGGCAGATCACTTTCCCTCGGCCCCCGTGTCCTCACATACCAAGGGAGGACATGGTGGGGCTCTGCAGCAGCCCCGAAACACCCTGGCTCTGCATTTGTTCAGCCACAGCTCCAGGAAGGCTCTTCATGCCTGAACCCCAAGACTGAGATGCTCTCAGCTCCGTCCCGGAGAGAAAAGTTGGCAGGGCCTCTCAGCTCCTGGATTTCCCAGAAACCAGGCCCTGCACTGCCACTGAGTGCTCCTGAAAGGGCCATCAGATGGCATCACAACAGGACCAGAACACGGGCAACCCTGAGGGCCCTGAATATCCTGCTTGAACCCAGAGGGCTGGGGAAAGAGGAGTTTGCTTCTTTTTGTGCCAGAGGTGCCATTTTCTCTTCTCCATTGCAGCTGACGAATACTCAGGCTGGGCAGAGCTGGGAGCAGTCTGAGAGCTGAACCGGACCCTGCACCATCAGCTTCCCCACCTGATACAAGCCCGGCCCCTGCCTAACAAACCTAAAACCACCCACATGGGCCCCCTCTCCCTGCCCCAGGTTTTTACAGATCACTCCCACTGCCTACCGAGGATGTTCTTCCAGCTCTGCCTAGAGACCTCTCCCCTTTAAGTCCTTCTGGAGGCACCGCCTCCTCCCAGAAGCCTTCCCTGTGCCCATCACTGCAGGCACAAAGCTAGCTTGGCCTTCCTCAGCCCTGGTTTACATCCAGCTCCCGGCCTAGAAGTCGAGGGCAGGCCCCGTGTCTCGCCCACTGGCGGGGCTTGAGTGATGCCCTCACCCTGGGGCCTCCAGGAGCTGCAGACTCAGCTCACAGCCTCTTTCCACCTGCCCAGCCATGCCAGAGAGGAATGGATGTGGCCGGAAGCTCCTTTGGCTCCCCCATCTAAGTCCCATTCTCCACTGCCCAGTCTCCCTCATTTGCTTTCTCTGGCGCCAACCTGAGCACCCCAGCTGCCTGTACTCTCTGCCCCGTTGACCTCTAGCAGGTCCTTGCCACTGGGTGGCCAAGTCCTCCTTCTCCTACCACCTGCCCCTCTGCCCTAGGAGGCGGACAGCAGGCCCAGCGCTCTGCCCTCCCGTGTCCCTCGGAGAGCCTGGGTGCTCTGCGTCCACCAAACGGGGTTGCAGTGGCTCTGTGTCCGAGTGGGTCTTGGATCTTTCCCAGCATGGGGGCCACAGCCCTTCGTGACAGCCAAGGAAGCCCAGGGCCAGGCCTGTGTGGGCCTGGGGGCACGGGTGGTGGCAGCAGGTGGGCAGTCAGTCACTGAGCGCAGCCCCTGGGAGCTCGTTGGTGAGCGTGTGCCAGCGCTCGATCCGCTTGTCCTTGTTCTTCAGGCAGTCAAACCAGTGCTTCAGACGCTCGCCTTTGGCGTTGATGCCCAGAACCACGCCGCCTGCAGAGGGGGCAACAGGGATTCAGTGACTGCCCAACCCCTGGGACCAGGGCTCCTCTCAGATCCTGTGCCGACGTCAGACTCTCGCTGCCCTCCAGGCTTTGAGTGTATCTGACAGGAAGACAGTATCTGACCTCCATCCACGCTCCTGCCCCCCGGCCCAGCTAGGGGTCTTGCTCTTCCTCTTCCAGGGCCCAGTACCATGCTGGGCAGGGTGCAGCGGCATGAAATAGGGGCTGAGGTACAGGGGCCAGGAAGGGAGGAGGCAAGGCAGCCCCACTGTACCTGGCTATTGTGCCCACCAGGCATTCAAGGTCACACAGGCTCCGAGTCCAGCCCTGGGTGCTAGTCACCAGTGTCCTCATCGTTCCAGCTCCCTGACAAACTGTAGTGTAGCCTCCCAGGCTTCTTACCCGCTCTGGACCTGTCTACTGTCACGGAGGGCAGGCTGCATGGTGTCTGGGAGGACCTGTGCCTGAGCCAGGGGCACCACTTGGCCACACCCAAGACAAGCACATGACTAAACTGTTTCCCAGTGTGCCCCTCTTACCAATGAAATCGTTGGATTTCCCAATGTCGTAATCCCAAACAGTGACCTCCAGGGTCTTCTTGGCCAAGTCCCCATGCTTAATCTCGTAACAGAACTCCTGCTGGCCAGAAGGGGAGCATTAGAGCCAAGGCAATGGGGTGAGGGGAGTGCGGAGGGGCAGGGTGGGCATATCTCCTGTCACTTCCGCCTGAGGGCCCAGGACAGGTCCCCATTCCCTCAACACACCTGCCTGTGAACCCCCTTCATGTGACTCATGGCACAAGAATGAGTTTTTATCATCCTCAACTTCTGGGCTGGCTATGCTGACCTTTTTTAGGGGTTGCGTGGTACTGGGGTCTTTGCCAAATCCCCAGAGCTTTTTTACTTTATCTTGCTAAACTGCCCAGGCTGGGCTCAAACTGGAGATCCTTTTGCCTCAGCCTCTGAGAGTTCTGGATTACAGGTGTGCACCACCACAACTGCCTGGCTTTGTCCTTCTGTATGAACTCCTCTCTCCTGCCAGCTTCTGGGACCCTCTGACATCAGGTGCTTCTTCCCCCTGGACACAGCTCCTCAGCCGTCTCTGGGATCCTGGTTCAGTTCTGGCTGTGCTTGAGGGCTCTCTGCTCCTCCACCAGCCCTGCTGCACGAGGGCCCCTAGATCTGTCTCCAGAGTCCCTGGGCTGAGGACCCTGAACCCCACCTGGTCACTTCTCTTTCTTGGGCCTAGGGCACATCATGAAGCCTCCTGCTGCACCCAGAGCTCCTCTCCATCTTCACACCAACCCTATCACAGCCAAGGATCAGGACATCCCCTAACACTTCCCTCTTCCCACCCTACATCCACCACAGCCAGTCTCAGGCAGATCCGCCTTCGTCACCGTGGCCTGGCGCAGCCTCAGTCCTACCCCATGGCTGGGGCTCTCCTGTCAGCAGCTCCCACAGTGACCCTTGGAAGCCCTGGCTCCTCTGGGGCGGGTCCACTGCCCATCACGAAGCCCTAGCAGCCCCTCATACCTCGTTGAACTCCGGGTTCAGGGTTTTCTTCTTCACTGCTGTCTTATGTTTGGATTTCTTGTCCACATCTGGCTTCAGGTATCTGAAATCATAACCAAGGGAAGGGCAGGGGATGAGGAGCAGCTGTGGGGTGCAGATGCAGCGAGCCGGGATCAACGGAGCCTTTTGTCCCTGCAGCGACGTTTCCATCCTGCTTTTGCCTAATTACGGGAATCCTGGCACAGCCTTGTGTGGGCAAAGGTGAGTCAGTGGCAGCAGGAGGAGGGAGTGGGCAGCTCTGGAAGCTCCCCAGACCCCCTCTGTCCCCCAGGGAGAGCACGTTCCTTGCTTCTGGAAGTCTAATTTTTGCAAAAGTTATATTTCCCACCAGAAAAACATATTTAGCAGAATTGGTTCCTTGCTAAAGTTTTTTTTTTTTTAAATAGCAGGTTTATTGATATATAATTCACATACCATAAGATCCATCTGTCTAAACTGTAAAATCTTTTTTTTCAGTGCATCCCCAGAGCTGTGAAGCCATCATCACGCCCTTTTTGGAGCTCCGAGGAAGGGAAAGGCCTTTGGGGACTACAGGGATGCATCCTCTTCCATCTGCAGGCCTCCACTGTGAAGATTCCTTCACTTGAGGCTCAGTGTGTTGGACTGAGTTGCCCAAGGAACGCCGGGGAGTCTCAGGTGTGCAGAGCTGGGGCTTTGGAAGGTGCTGGGTTGGGGTGTTGGACTCATCCGAGAATTCATGTGCAGCTGAACGTGGGCTACAAGGCGGGGCCTGGCTGGAGGTGGTCACTGGAGGCATTACCCGGAAGGTGTATTCTTGTCCCTGGCTCCTGCCTTCTCTCACTGCTTCCTGGCTGCCAAGAGGGGAGCAGCTCTCCTCTCCCATGTCCGCCCACCATGGGCTGAATCCTCTGAACGCCACACCCCTTGAGCTGTGAGTGTTGGTACTGTGCCCCAGGACAGGGAAGTGGACTGATACAGTCCCCAGACTCTCCTCTCCAGAACCTCTTGCCCTGTCCTTGCACAGACAAGTGTGCAGCACTTGCCTCCCCTGCTGAAGGAGCTCTGGGGTCAGAAGTACGTTGGTCTCACCCATCCCCAGCTTCCTCTCCCCAGCTCAGCGGCTGCCCTGGGTGGGTCAGTGAACTGAGTACTTGAGGTCCCAGTGGTGAAACGACAGCTGAAGATGTGCTGGGGTCAAGCTTCTTGTTTCATTTGCAAAACCGCCCTCCAGAAAGACTGTGTGGCTCACACTTTAAAATCTCTGCTAGTATCTCGCTGTTATTTTACTTCGCATTTCAGAACTGCAAACATAATGCTGGTTTACTATAGAAACAGGGGAGCGTATGTGGTGACAAAAGCTGGGGGTAGGAGAGAGGGTGAGGATATTTGTCCACACAAGTACCTGTTTGTAGCAGCTTCATGCAACACCCAAAACCAGAAACAAGCACATGCCTTTCCCTGATGAGCTGATCAGCAGGACTCGTGGCTTATCCACAAGGTGGAAGACTACTCAGCCCTAACAAAGACCGACCCGTGGGTATACACAACCCCAGGGTCTGATGTGCAGGCCAAGCCAGACCAAGACAACACACCGTCTGGTATCTCTGTCTGACAATCAGGAAAAAACAACACTACTAGGACAGAAAACAGGCCAGTGGGTTGGGGCGGGGAATTTTCTGGGCCCTCTGTACCCTTTACTCGTCCATCCAATCAAGGGGTGGGAATATTTGAAAAAAAGAATTGCGGTACACTTCCGCTCCTCCTCATTATTCCTAATGGAGCGTAACGACTGTGGCACATGCCTGTCATCCACGCTATTCAGACGGCTGAGGCAGGAGGACTGAAAGACCAAGGCCAGCCTATCTCAAAAAACCAAAAGGGAAGCAAGGCGTGGAGGTGCACGCCTGAGTCCAGCTCTTGGGACTAAGCAGGAAGATCAAGTGTTTGAACCCAGGGAGGGGGATGCCGCTTGGTGGTAGAGTTCTTGCCTTGAACTGGGGTTCAATCCCCAGTACTGCGAAAGACAACAAGAACAAAAGACAACCACTTGTCAATAGCATCTGTATTGCATAAGGTATTATAAGTAATCTAGAGGTGACGTAAAGCATGTGGAGGATGTGCAAATACTAGGCCTTTTCACGAGTGTCAGGGACTTGAGTGTGGGTGGATTTTGAAATCTTCAGGGGTCCTGGAACCATTTCTCTTTGGATGCCAAGTATCAACTGTATTCTCTATATTCAAGATTGTATGTGTTGCAAACTTCAAACAGGGAGCAACTTCCAGTATGTAAATTCTATCTCAGTAAACTCAACTGAAAGTTGGGGGCTCAAATCCACTCGAGAGGGTGGGTTGTGTGTGTGTGTGTGTGTGTGTGTGTGTGTGTGTGTGGTACTGGGGACTGAATTCAGAGCCCTCACACTGAGTAGATGTTTTATAATGGAGACCCATCTCGCGCTTCCTAAATTGCTAAATTACTCAGACTGGGCTTGAATTCGCGATCCTCTTGCCTGGGAGTATAGGCTTGGGCTGCCCACAGCTGGCCTGAATCCCTTACGATGAATTTCTCTTCCCACACAGGCCATATTGCTATGTGTTAGTGTTGTCTCCTATGCAGTGTCCTGTGCTGGTTTGCACTGGGGTGAGGAGCAGGGACGGGGGAGCCCTGCAGAGTTGGATACAATGCTCTGGAGCTTCTGTGCCCTCAGCCAGGACAACTTGTGTCCACCTGGTGGCTCCTCACTGAGACACTAGGCTGCCAGACAGACGCCGGCACCAGGCCTTCAGCCACGCGCAGTTCCTCTCGGGGCCATCCCGTCGCACCTCCAGAGCTTTGCCCTTTCCTCTACTGCAGTGCTGTTCCCTCCCCACACCAGGGCCCCGGGAATCCCTCGATTCCTGTCACAGCTTGTGTTTAGATGTCCCCCAGAGCCTCATGTGAACGAGGCGGGACTTCTTCAGAGGTGCTGAATCTAGAGTATGTGATGCTAGGACTAAGGGTGGTGACTAAATCAATCCACCGAGTGGTTTGGCACCACCCTTAATCCTGGTACCCCGGATACAATATAAGGGACAGAAGAGGCTCGTCTTCCCCTTTATTGCTTTTGCTACCTTCAGCCTGCCATAAACTGCTGCCCGTCGGCCACGCCACCCTGCCTTTGAGCCAGCTGACTATGGACTGAAACCTCCGCAAACTGTAAGCTAAATAAACCTTTCCTCCTTAACTTTGGGTGTCAGGTATTTTGTCTCAGCAATGAGAAAAGCAACTAAGACAGTGCCCTTCTGGGCAAATCCCCCAGAGCCCTGCCGCATGGCTGTTAGGACCCTTCTGCTCTGGCCACCCAGCTGTGCCAGAGCTGTGCTCTACACAGTGATCTGACGGCCAAAGGCTTCTAGAAGACCCCCCCCTCCCCCGCCATGTGCCAGGTGCAAGGGCCGGAGCAGGACGGAGCTGCTGGGGTGGCACAGGAAGTTCCTTCTAGTTTCTTGTTTCCCTGGTAGGAAACATCAGTAATAAACAAAAGATGGTATGGGCTGTACACAGTGACAGCCCTGGCACACAGTATTCACTCAACCAACACATGCTAGCGATTATTATCATTCCGTCACGCTCTGAACACCTGGGGCTGGGGTCAACTCTCAGCCTGGGGAAACTGAGGCAGGTGTCACCAAGGGTGAAGTTTATAAAAATGATGCAGACTAAAAGACTTGACCCACTGAGACTTGCTCCTTGGCATCAGCCCCCTGGCTCCTCCGTTGCTCTCCTCTGGGGTCCCAGGACTCTGTCAAGGAGACAGCTGAGGGGCACCTGTGTCCTCATTTCTCAGTTTTCAGGAAAGCGGAGGCCCCTAGACCTGCTCAGCAGACCCTGTCCTGGGCAGAAAGTTTTACCCAGACTGAGGGGTTCAGGGGAAGTGTGACTGTGATCTAGGAGCTGCCCAGGGATCTGCCCACCTCTGAAAGGTCAAGTGGACCTGGCTGGGGCTGGGGTGTCCTGCAGCTCCCACACCAGCTGTCCATGGCCTACCTTGGTACAAGGCCTTGCTCACCTGAGGAAGCCAGTATGAGGTGAGACCCTGGTTTCTGGGTGACCCAGTAAATGACCTGGAATTCCTGTCCACCTGGCAGGTGGGCACTGAACATGACTTAAACTGTTCATGCCATTTTGGCCTCAGAATGTATTTCTGTCTGAAAGGAAATCCAGCATTACAGGAGAAGACGAAGGCTCCCTACTGGCCTCTGCAGTCCTGTTCCCCTCCCTTGCCAGAGACCACCACTCAGGAAGTACCCTGAGTGGTAAAGAAATGCAGTGACCTCCCAGGGTCTGAGGGAGGTGTTCCGGGACAGCCCAGATACTGAAAACTAGGGATGCTTGAGTTCACATATAAAATGGCCCAGTATCTGCAGATACCCCACACAATCCTCCTAGATTCTATACCTTACACTGTCTCTGGGTTACTTATAATACCCAATACAGTATAAGCACTGCCATGTAAACAGCAGTTACACTCTATTACAGAGAATAATGACAAGAGAAAAAAGGTCTGTACCTGTTCAGTATAGATGCAGTTCCTCCACACCCCAAACAGTATTCTCGGCCTGGACTGGCCGGAATCCGGGCATGTGGAGGGCTGTCTAGGACAGTGACATGCTGTGGGCATAGTTCTGCAGTTTGCTTTCTGGCTCAGCACGTTTTGGACAGCTGTCCATGTTAATCTGTCTAGGTTTAATTGATTCCTTTAACCACACAGTGTACCACTGTACGCGTGTGCCACATTTTATTAATCTATTTTGCTGCCGAACATTTGGAGATTTCCAGTTTATTGCTACTACAAGCAACACTGACACAAATAGCTTCCCACCTGTGGGTTGGTCTCTAGGATACAAACCTGGAAGGAAGATCATGTGGCCGTCGGGTGTGCACATTTCCCAACTTTTTTGGAAGATTGCAACTTTCTGGAGTTTTACTTATATTTATTTATTTAGTTTTGGTACCAGGGATGGAACTCAGATCCTTGTCCTTGCGAGGCAGGCGGCGGAACCACTGAGCTAAAGCCCCAGCCCTTTTCTGGTGTTATAAAAAGTATGCTGACTGTCTTCTAACACTTGTAGTTTCTTCACACACTCAGGTCTCTGAGCCACTGCACTACATTTTTTTTAAATTGTTTTGCTTAAAATTTTTTTCTTTTGAGACAGGCTCACTAATTTGCCTAGGCTGGCCATGAACTTGTGACCCTCACTGCCTCAGTCTTCCGAGTGGCTGAGATTACAGGCGTGTGCCACCACACCTGGTATAATTTTACACCTTGTTTTTATTGTACCTGTGACTGTGACTGTGACCTGTCACATGAGATCAGCCGTGAAATTGTGTATCTGTATTACTATGTCGGGACTCAGAAGTTTCAGAGTTTGAAGCACTTTGGGTTTCTGGTGTTTCGGTTGGGGACGTTCACCTTTTACTTCATTCCTCATAGTCCATGGTATGGATGAGTCCACATTTCATTTCTCCAATCATCAGTGGAAGGACATTTGAGGTGTTTCTACTTTTAGCAACTATGAATAAAGCTGCTACAAACATTCACAGATACATTTTTTTGTGCATGTGCATTTTTTTAGTCCTCTCTGGTGTAAATCTAAGAGTAGAACTGTTGGATCATGTAGTAACTCTGTTTTAAATTAACCTCCCCTCCAAATCCCAGAACTGGGATCGAACCCAGGGTCTGCACATGCTAGGCAAGCACCCTACCACTGGGATACACCCAGCCCCCTCTTTTCCTTTAGGCACGTTGGATAGAACTTGGATCCTTGTGCTTATGAGGCAGGCGGTGGCACACTGAGCTAAATCCCCAACCCACCAGACCTTTTTATTTGTTTTATTTTGAGACAGGTCTCACCAAGTCACCCAGGCTGGCTTGAACTTGTGATCCTTCTGCCTCAGTCTCCCCAGTAGCTGGGATTATAGGCATGGATCACCACCCCTGGCTTGTGTTTAACTTTTTTTATTTTTTTGGGTACCAGGGACCGAACTTGGGCCCTTGTGCTTGCGAGGCAGGCGGCAGAACCACTGAGCTAAATCCCCGGCCCTTTTTTTTGTTTTTTTTGAGACAGGGTCTCATTATGTAGTTGAGACTGACCTGGAACTCACTATGTAGCTCAGGCTGGTCTTGAACTCAAAGCGATCCTCCTGCCTCAACCTCCCGAGTGCTAGGATTACAGGTGTGCGCCATCACACCCGGCTGTGTTTAGCTTTTTGATGAACTGCCAGTTGGTTTCCAAAAGGCTGCGGCCATCTTGACATATGATTTTAAAAGTGACTGAAGGATGGGGATTTAGCTCATTGGTACCTTGCCTGCCTCACAAGTGCAAGACCCCGGGTTTACACAAAAAAAAAAAAAAAAAAAAAAAAAAAAGGGACTGAAATATGACAGCGGCCATTGGGCGTGGTGCCTCAGAGTTGTGGCACGAGAAGCACTGGCCTCCCTGTGGGACCAAGAAGTCCCCTCAGACTCCATCACCTGGGCCTCCTCTGTGTCCCCTCAGGCCAAGGCTGTTCCAAATCCTACCTTAGCTCCTCTGTCCCAAAGCCCCTCCCCCTCCTCTCTGCAAGTCCCTGCATCAGGGGAGCACCCTCTGGATGGGGACCCAACCACCTTTTTGTGCAGGGCCCCAGGCAGTGAAGACCATCACTGTGGTGCTCACACCACCCCTCTCCAGCGGCCACTGGATCCCTAACCTGCCCCTGTGAGCCCAGGGCACATCCTGTTTGGCCAGGTCAATAGCTCTAGGGCCTAGGTCACTGGGCATGTCTCCCAGTTAGTGACTCTTCTTAGTGCCACTGTTAGTGGTAGGGCTGGGTGGACCCTTAGCTGCACCTGTGGCCTCAGCACAGGGCTGGTGCACTCGGACAGTCCCAGTGGTCTCTTTGGCCAGGTTGCCCAGCTTCCCCGCTGCCCCTGGCCCTGGACCCTTGTGTCTCTGCCTCCAAGCTGCTCATGATGCCAGGCCCTACGGTCAGAGAGGCCTGTCTGTGGCCTTAGGAGACAGATATTCTCTATGACCTAAGAAGACACTCAGTTTCTCTGGGCCTGCATTTCCCCATCTGTATAATGGGCTGGGCACACTTGCCAAAGGATCCCTTAAGAGAACAGGCCCCTGTGAGCATGGGTCCTGGCCTGTCAGGTGCCCTTCTAGGGCTGGCCTTGCTTGGCCACAGTGCCAGACACTGTCACTGGGTGAGGAGGGGCAGCAGGCACAGGCCTGAGCTGCACACTTACGTTTTCACATAGGGGTCCGAGTAGCCGTTGGCATCCATGGCAGCCAGGTGTGCACACCGCACAATGCCCACCAGCAGGCCCTGCTTCTGTGAGCTGTACTTGAGGGAGATGAGGATGCGGCCTCGCTCTTCCAGGGACTTGTCTTCCGTCTTGTCCACCTGCCGGTGAGCAATCACTCAGTACTTCTGCCCCCAGCCGACAGGCCACCGAGGCTGTCTGTCTCCAGCTCACTTGCCACCAACTGGTGAGTGGTCACAGCCCCGTCCCCTGTGGCCTTCCTGCCTGACTCTCCCCTGAGGACGCTGCCGCAGGTGGAGTCTGACGCTGCCCTCCGTGCTTCTGCCCCACAGCCTGAAGTGGCTTTCACAGTCCTGCACAGCTTGGCCCAAAGGCCAAATCGGACTGGATGCCTGGCTCTGTGTGGAGCTGTGCTAAGAGTGGTCTTCACTTTCTTCAACAATATTCATAACGCATGAAATTCAACCTCAGTGTCCATTAATAAGGTTTTACTGGAACTTAGCGTCACCCTTCCGCTTTTACTCTACAATGGCAGAGTGAGTAGCTCTTAACGGAGACAGTGGGCCCGCAAAGCCTCACAGATCTGCCGTCTGGCTCTTCACAGAGTCTGCCGACTCCTGCTTTGGTGCCGGCTGCTTGGCAGGTGGTCCCTGCTCTGCCCTCTTCATATCTGAGACCGGATCTTCTCTGAGCTCTGCCCCATGCCCCCTCCATGTCTTCTCTCACGCTGAGTTTGCTCCCAGTGCCCTCCTGTCTCCACATCTGATGAGCTCCTGTCCCTGGGATAGGGCTCGGCTCTAGTGGCTCCTCCTGGACGTTCCGGATCCCTGGGCAGTTGGGTGTCCTGCCCTATGCTGCCCTGTCTCAGCTTCCTGTTGCCATGCACTGTGGCCACCTGCTTCCTCCTGTGTCCGCCCCTAGACTCTAAGTCCCTTGAAGACAGTTTCTACCTGTTTCATGCTTATGCTCCAGAGTGGGTGAGGGTCTGGCCCTGAGCAGCATCCACCCGCCACAGGCTTGTCCTAATGAAGGTGGGAACAGAGGGACAGATGGTCCCTCTGGGTTCGATTTCATGACTCCCACTGCAGTCTGAGGCCTCAGAGGAAGGCCCATAAGGTCAGTCCCGGCCCTGCTGGAGGCCTGCTGGAAGGCAGTGGTCTCCTGACCCCAGCACCCTGGTGGCTTCCTAAGCCTCTCAGGGTCTGCGGTGGCCCGTGAGGAGACAGAAATGGGGCTTTGACCTTTTCCTAACTTGGGGTAGTTGGGCACTGGGTAGGGAAGCTACCTAGTCTCCCAGTGCCTGATGCCCACCTCAGGGTTTGTACCTCAAATGTCCTGCCGTTTCGTCCACCCTTGACACAACCAGCCGATGTGTCTTTCCTCCTGGTCTTCCCAAGATAACGCAGTTCTTCCGGCTGCAGCTCACCTGGAAGCCCTTCCTCTATAGCTCTGCTCCTCGGGACACACCCAGTTGAAGCCCCCTCTTCAGGACTCTGCACGGCTCCTCTTTCATGTGGGCCCACTGTCCTCTGCCCAACACTGATGTGAATCCCCATGCAGCCACATCCAACCCTTCCTGGAGATGAGACTCTAGAAAGGAGCTAATTTTTCAGCCATGCGAGATTATACTTTGGGTGCTTCGTAAGATCTCTGAGCTGGTCATTGTCCAGTACTTAAAACAATGTACACAGACCATAAACACAAAAAGTAACACCAGCATGTTTTTACTGCCCCAGTGGTTATCTCTGAGCTCACCGTGTGTCCCCATCTGACCAATGAGCTCGTAGCCAATTCAAGCAAGACTCAGCAATGCCTGATGCAGCTCTGGGGACAGGCTTGCACACGCTCTCACAAACACACTCTTGTATCTATGCAAGCTGCATACACACACGCACACAGCTGTTTGTTTATGCTCATGATCAAAACTCAGGAACACAACTATTATGGGAGCCAGCACTGCCTTACTTCCTAAGTGAGTTAGATCATTTGAAAAAACTAGGTTACCTGCGGTTAGCGACTAATAATAAAATAGAAAAGGTTATATCCATCACACAAACGTCTGTGAGTGGGAGAGAATGTGACAAAGGAATACAATTTGATCAAGTTATGCAAAAAGCTGGGCTCTGGCAGGCAGCTCAGGCCGCAGGCTGACTTGTTGCAAAGCCTAGCTCGGGCTATGCGGGCCCAGAATCCATGTCCTGAGGATGCCAGGCTCCATAGGCCTGACCCTTGGGGGATGGCTGTGGGTTCGTCCTCCTGGGCATTCCCACTGCTCAGGCCTGGGGAGAGGGACAACGAGTCACTGCCATGTCCTCAACACTGGGCAGCTGAGGGCCAAACATTCCTCTGGACCCCAGGGCCCTGGGGTGCCCTGGGCATCCTTTCAGCTCTTCTGAATGGGGTGAGGCGAGAGGGCAGGAGAGCGGAGGGACAGAAACCAGCATCCTGGGAGGGCTCAGCTGCTGGAGCCTGTCAGGGGCAAAATCTGTTCTGACATAATTTTCAAACGATGGCAATTTCTAGGAAAGAATTATGTGCTGTCTCCTCTGGGCATCTCACAGGCACTGCAAGTCTGACACGTTCCAATTGAGCTCCTGAGCTGCGACGTCCCAGCTGCTCCTAGTTAATGGCTGCCTCATCCTCCCAGATACTCAGGCCCCAGATGTCACAATTGTCCTTTCCCCGCCCGAGGCCAGGTCTGCTGGTACAGTCTGTCTAGAAGCACCTCCACCCCCAGCCACCAGCTCCTGCATGCCTGGGCTGCCTTCAGCTCCTTACAGGATCTGGTCTCATCTTTTCCCTGAGCCCCGAGTGTCACCAGATGCGGTCCCTGCTCTTAGCCCCTTCTGGGCCCTGGTGTCACTCGGTGGAAGCTCACTTCCTTCCTTGCCGGCCCCAGCCTGACTTCTCCTCCCTTGGTTCTTGCTGCTCCCTTCATTGCCTTGGCCCTGCACCTCCCCAGGCAGCAAGTTCTGTTGGTCTCCCACACTCGCAGCCAGGCCAGGGGCACAGTGGGTGCTCAGGGAACCCTGCCGGCCCTGCAGAGGTGGCTGGAGGGAGCCTGAGGCCCACTCACCGGCAGCTGCTTCTCCAGGCAGATGCTGAATGTCTTGGTGTGGTTGGGTTTCAGCTTCTTCAGGGGCACTCTCGTCTCCCCGATGAACTCGTTGTGGCGGAATTTGTCCTCATCACACACAGAGATCCTGGGGGCAAGGGGCAAAGCCAGTACCTCAGATACACTGGGCACCACCAGTTTTCTGCCACAGTGGGGGGGGTTCTTGAGTGGTGAGGCAGGGGGTGGGGACAGGCGGCTGGGGGCCTCACGCACCGCAGGGTCTTGCGGATCATGTCCTCATCTGTGATCCCGTAGTAAGTGAGGGTCTCGTTCCATGTGGGATTCAGAGTGTTACGCAGGGTTTTTGTTCTAAGCTTATTTGCCTGGAGAACGGAAGAAAAGGTCTTATTAGCAACTGATGTGTGCAGAAGGAAGAAAGAATGTGTCCTGCAAAGATGGCCATGTCCTGGGCCCTGGGCCCTTTGACAAGGCAAAGTGGACTGAGGTGACTTTCAAACATTGGAGCTCAGTGGTACAGCACTTGCTCAGTACGTTCAAGGCCCTGGGTTTGATCCTCAGCACCAAAACAACGAAATAAAAGGAGGGTGGAGATAATCCTGGATAAACTGAGTGGCCCAGGTGATCACAGGGGTCCTTAAAAGCGGAAACATGGACACCAAGGGAGAAGCTCAGAGAGAGGTATCATGCCTGGCTTTGAACATGAGAAGTCACAAGGCGAGGAACATGGGTGGCTTCTAGGAACTGGAAAGGGTCTGAAAATGCATGATTTCCTAGGGCTCCAGAAAGAACACAGCTCCACAGACACCCTGATGTTTAAAATTTTGTTTATTTAGTGGTACGGGAGATTGAATCCAGGGCCTTTATGCTGAGCTCCATCCCAGTCCTTTTTTAAATTTTGAGACAGGGTGTAGTAAGTCACTACGTTGCCCAGGCTGGGCTCAAACTTTCTATCCTCCTGCCTCAGCCCCAGAGTGCTGGGATGACAGGGCTGCACCACCATGCCTGCTAACACCTTGATGTTTAGCCCAGTGGAACAAACCACATCAGGCTTCTAACCTGCAGAACGGTAAGACAGTAACCGTTGTTGTTTTAGGCCACTGTGTCTGTGGCAGCAGCCGCAGCAGCCACAGGAAGCCAATGTTCGGAGGACCCTGCCAGAGGCCCCCCGTGGTGGCAGCAGGGGTTGGCTTTGCTGGGAATTGTGCAAGGTGGCTGCTGGGAAGCTTGGCTGTGGAGCTGGCCCCCTGCCTTCCCCCTTGTTCCTACATGTCCGGTCCATGCCTTTGCTAAGGCTGCTCCTTCTGCTGGAGTCCATGCTATCCTAAAGAATTCCTTGTGGGTGGCCTGCACACAATGGAACGTGGCCTCTACTCCCGCTGCACTCCTGTCTGCCTGTTGGGTCATCATCCATCATGGGGACAGGGGTTCTGCGGGCAAACAACCTGGGAGAAGCTGTCCACTCTGTCCCCTTATGGAGAGTACCAGAACAACCCATTAACACATTAAGGGTTCTGATAAGTCCTGCTGTCAAGAAACCCGTTTAACAGTTTCTCAGTGTTCTTTGATCCTGGAACCCCTTTTTTAGCATATGAATCTCTATCCAAGACTCCTTCTTTTAAAAAAATGCTGGTCTGGAAATTCTCTGGTAGGGTTTCACCCCTGTCACCAGGTAGGCAAAACTGGCCCAGGAGAGAGGCCTGCAAGTGTGGGGCTGATTGGGCGCTTTGAATGGGTGTGAATGGCGGAAGTCCTATCATCTTGCGTGGGCTCCGGATCTGTGTGTGGTGGTCTGGGAGTGCTCTGTCACAGTGTGCAGGCCTGGGCAGGAACCCTCACCTTGCTGGCTCCTGGCAGCAGATGCAGCTTGACGTAGGGGTCTGCCAGTCCGTTGTGGTCCATTGGCTTCAGGCCCTGGGTAGAGGAGACCAGCAGAAGGTGTGAACTAGAAATTGGGGCTACAGAGCAGCCAGGCCCCCCAGGAGCCTGAGTCATCAGAGGCTTCTGACTGGGTTCACCCATGCTCTTCTTCCCGGAAACCCAACCTCTCAGCCCCAGATGGGATGCGTGAGGACACTCATTGCCCATGATATCTCCCCTGCCCCAGCGTCCTGGTCTAGCATGGCTGCTAAGAGCCACGTGGCTGCTTTCTCTTTCTAGCTTCTCTGTCATGGAGGCCAGGTGACTGGCCCTGCTTCAAGAGGAATACCTGTCCGACTTTGGTCAGGCCTTTCCCTTGTCCTTTCCAAACATGGCCTCTCCATGGAGAGTCTCTCCATGACCCTAAGTCAATGGGACTCTGCCATCCACATAGCTTCCTTGGTGACCGTGGGAAAGGGTTCCAGGTCTTGGGAGACGGGTGGAGGCCTGACTGAACTTTCTCTGCAGTGTCCAGAGTTCACAGGCTCCACAAGATGGCAGCCCTCACTAACGCTGCCTTCAGATCCTCTGCAGACCCAGTCAAGAATCACCCTGCGCAGGGGCTGAGCAGGAGGTAAGAGCAGGTTCTCATTCCTCAGATGGAGGGAGGAAGTGTGTGTGGGGCAGGGTAGGCAGCCCTCCTGCCTTGCCCTGACTTTATTCACAGAGGAGCTGCATGTATTCCACACAGCTGGCGGCGGGGTGTGGCGGGGTGGTGGCGGAGTCCACCAGACCCGGGCTCCTCCCCTACCCCAGTGCCTGGCTTTGGGGACTCTCCTAGCTGGAGGCTGCCACCCACCACTCATCTGCTGCTGGGAGGACACAGGTTGGCCTGAGACCAGAGCTCAGTTACTTTGTGTCCTCAGCTTTATGGTCTGTAAGACAGGGTAATAACTCAACTTCCCAGGCATGGAGCAGAGGGAAGGAGGTAATGCAGACACAGCACTGGCAGGTAGGCTGTTTCTTTCTTTCCCCAACACACCAGGCCCTCTGGAAGATGCCAGAGACGTCACCAAGGGCCGGGGTGGGTGGGGGTGTCTGAGCCATGCTGGGGCTGCAGCTCCACAGGCTGTGGGTGGGGCTCAGCTGGTGGTCCTGTGTGTCCCCATGAAGCTGTCCTTCCGGATCCAGCTCTTTCCTCCTCTTGCCTCCTGGCCTTTCCCATGAAGTGCCCAGCGAAATGTACAGAATAGGCCAGGTAATCTGGCTCTAGGCCTTGGACACCCATGAGGTGGGGCGGGGTGGTGCTGAGCTGGGATGTGAGTGTCACCTATTATGTCCTTTGGATCCTTGTTGCCACTTCTGCAGCCTTCCACCCAGAAGATCCCTGTGAATACTCGGCCACACTCAGCCTGGAGCGGAAAGAGTGAGTGAGCACTGGCACAGGCTGTGTCTCTATCTGACCACTGACTCCTGTGTCCCCAGGAGGCCTCCCTGGCCCTGGCCCAGGCCTCCCACCTGTAGCCATGCAGGGCAGGGCAGGACCTCCTACCAGGCCTCGGTGTGTTGCCCTCCCTAGAGCTGGACCCCTCTCCAAGGGTAACTGGGAGGGGCAGCAGAGAAGGTGATGGAGGCAGCCCCTGGCTGCTACTGGTACAGAGGGATGGATGGCAGAACCCAGGCCTTTCAGAGGTGGTCGCTGGTGAGGCGTTCAGGGCGAGAGACCCTGAAACCCTCAGAACCATGGCCTGCAGTGCTCAGCCTATGGAGGAAGGGGGTTCACACACATGCACTGACAGGCACAGGCCTGGGGGTGTCAGGCTGATGAAGTAAGCCAGGCTCAGAGGGACCTGTGAGGCCCCCTGTGGGGTCAAACTCGGGACGGAGGGGTGGCCAGGGCCCGGGGAGAGGGAACAGGAGCTGTTTAATGGTTCCACAGTTTCAGTTTTATAAGATGAAAAAGTTTTGGAATTGGATGTTGATGAAGTTTACACAACAATGTGAATGTGATTAACACTACTACACTGTGCACTTGAAAAATGGTTATGGTGACAAATTTTATGCTTATATATTTTACCACAGTCAAAAAAACAACCAAGTCTCCCAGGACTGTGGTTCTGTTGGGTTTTCCTAGTCCCTCCTCAGATGGGAGCGCCCGGGTACATTTGAGTGTGTCCATGAGGGCAGGTGGGCACCAGACTGCCAGGTGCCTACCGCCCGCAGCAGCCACGTGGGGCAGGCATGACAAGGCCCATTTGCAAATGAGTGACCTGTGACTTACCCTCACCCAAAGGCCCCAGCCAAGGAGTGTCTGCCCGCCCCCTTCCTCACAGAGGCACAGAATGTCAGCCCTGCTTCAGTACCTTCCTGGGGCGCCCCAGCCCCAGTCAGAGACCCCTTCCCTGCAGTGCTGGCTTTATGCAGAGAAGCAACAGGAGCATTGGGCCGCAGTGGCTCAGGAGTCTCGTGTCTCCTAACTCTGATGTCTAGGGATGCACCTGAAGTGGACACACTTGCTTATCTACACCCACATGCACACATGTGTGTACACATGGGACATCTAGGGATGGTGGGAAAGGCAGGGAGAAAGCCTGGTGTCTGAGAAAGTGAGGGGAGGCAGCTCTGGCCCTGGTGGCCTGGCAGATGGTCCCCAAGCCTGGGCAAGCTCTACAAAGCCGGGCAGAGGGAGAGAAGGGTCTGGCAGCCTGGCCTCCACCCTGGCGAGGGGTCACCATATGCTCAACTCTATTCTTTGGGGGGGGTATGAACAGGGTGGGGGCTGGAGAGAGTGGCCTTGAGGGTTGGGCCTGGCCCAGCATGGACAGTACTCACACCTGCCCACGGCAGTCTATGTGCAGTGGCCCAGGCTGGGGTGGCCCTGGCAGCCTGTCCCTCAGGGTTGGTACAGAGCTACAAGGTAGGAGCAGGGATGCCAGTGGGTTGGGGTGCTGGGGTGGGGTCTGGGCTTAGGCAGCTCTGTGGGAAGACCCTCGATCTGAGCTGAGCTGCCCCAGGCCCCTCCACAGCCCTTTTGGGGGCTCTACTGGCCACAGGGGCCCTTACCTTGCAAGAGAACATCAGCTTTGGCACCTTCCTCCCAGAGGAACCATCAGGGTGGGGGACAAGGGAACAGCACGGTGAAAACACAGCTGACACAGTGGGGACCTGCGCAGGCTACCAGGGGGCCATAGACACCCACAACTCCACAGTGCAAGACTCAGGGGGACTTCTCGGCTCAGGTCCAGAGGCTAATCCCCTGCCTAGAGTGTCAGCCTTCTTTGGTGGCACCTGCAGCATTAACACAGGACAGTTGTGACCACCCACTGCTCAGGGAGCCTAGAAGCCCAGGGGCTGGGAACACGGGGTGTGGAGATCCCCAGCCAGCAGCATCCACTCCTCACACCCTCCCTCTCCTATAGGATAGCCCCGCACAACTTCCCATCCTTGACAATCCCTGTCCCCTAGAAGCCCAGCCCAGGCCTCCTCCCCGAAAGGCCTTGCTATGCTGAGAGTTTTTGGGGGAGTGGGCAGCTGAGATGGTTGAGGCAAGAACTCCCTGCTTGTGCTGCACCCTGCACAGCAGACAGCATGACACCTGGGAAGGAAGGCAGGAGGCTGGGCCCCCACCCAGCTCTTCCTCTCGGCCTGGGGCCGGCGGGGTGCAGGGCCTACCTTGGCCTTGCTGATGGTGCAGTGGAGTGCACTGTTCTCCTGGTCATACAGCAGGCTGAAGTCCAGTGTGCCCAGGGCAGCTGTGGACAGAGAGGGCACAGGTCACCTCCGGCTGCATCCCCCAGTGGCGTCACCCTCCCCTTCATGGCTAAGAGGAGCCACACTACTATTTTTTTCAAGATTCAAAAGATTAATTTGGAAAAACTGGCACAAGACAAAGATATTCTTTACAATCCTTCTCTGAATATTTGAATATGCAAAGCTTCATAAAAGGTAGGCAGAAAAGCAGCAACTCTGATTTCACAGAACGTCAGTGGATTACACAAATTAAACTCCTGCTGTGCTTGCCCCCGACACGCTGCTCTCGCCACCCCTTACGGACAGTAGCTGACACCAAGCTTCTGTCTTTGGGGCTGCCAGGCAAACTGAAAAACACAATTATTTTCGTTTTTAAATGGCTGGAATTAGTTAAAGCAACCCAAGTATTACTGCGATAGCAGAGCTTAGCAAAACCATGCAAGGATACCGCTAATAGCATTTTAAAATTATCCAGATGATATCCGTACTGAGACCGAAGTGGCACCGGATTCCCAGTGCTGTGACGGGCACCCTGAGGTTCGCTCTGGGCACAGGCACAGGTCCACATTCCCCATGAGGAGCAGTGCCACCATTCCCCTTAACAGGGCTCCTGCATAAAGGGATATGAGGCGCCCAGCACGGCTCAGTGGCAGAGTCCTTGCCTAGGGTGTGCAAGGCCCTGGGTTTAATCCCCAGTCCGGCAACCAAAACAAAAATACAAAAACCTTGGCTGGGCGTGGTGCCTGTAATCACGCCTGTCACCCCAGCACTCTGGGAGGTGAGGCAAGAGGACTGCAAGTTAGAGCCCAGCTTGGGCAATTTAGATCTTGTTGTCTCCCCCCTCACACCCCCAAAAAGGCTGAGGATATCATTCAGGATGGAGATCCTGGGTTCAATCCTCAGGACTAGAAAACAAAACAACAAAACAACCTCAAGTTTTACAAAAGAAAGATTTCAAGTCTACATACATTAACGATAAAACCATTTCTTCTTGGTAACAGGTCAAAGTACAAAGGCATATCACTAAGTATTTTTTTTTTTAAATAGCCAGGAATGAAAGAATGTCATAGAACCCGAGGTGACAGCCATCAACCGAGCAGCTACAGTATGCCAATCCTAGCCCCATTCTCCCAGCCCGCCCAGCCCCAGGAGTGACCATGTTCTTCTCCAGAGAAGGGCCTGAGGCTCAGAGAAGCCAAGTGGGTCACCTCCAGCCCCTGTACGTGGCAACAGAGCCCCACCCAGCCAGTTGGCCCTAACCCCTGTCCTAGCCCAGCAAGGTGCCCACATGATCTAGGCACCTTGTCCTCCATGTGCAACTGCTAGCTTGGGCTCTCTGCCTCAGTTTCCCTCACTTATGAAACGCCAAGGCAGAGGAGAAGGGGCTCTGAGAAGCTGCAGGCCCTGGGTGGCCTGACTGGCTGATCCACTTACCTGACCTTCAGGTTAGCACATGGGACTATGGCTCCCTGGTCTCTTTGGCCCCTTGGGGACCCTAGGCTGCAAAGACCCAGCTGGGTCTTCATGCTGCTGTCCTCAAGTCTCTCAGAGGTAGCGGTGATTTCCCAAGGGCCAGGCAGAGGGGGCAGAAATAACTGGGTGCAGCTGCCACCCTTAGGGGCCAGCACACACAGCAGCTGTGGCCTTCCATGCCCAAGTGGCTCCCAGAGGAAAGGGGAAGGGGTGTTGGTAGAAGAAGACCTTGGCATGGCCCCAGATAGCAAGGCACAATTCCCAGATGTTTCAGAAGCCCCAATCCTGCTCCGAGCTGCTGAGCTGGTCAAGTGATGTCTCATCCATTCACTCATCCACCCATCCACTCGTTCATTCTTTATTTACCAAGTGCTTACAATCCGCTAGGCTCTTGGGATGAGGATAGCTATAAGGCACATCCCTGCCCCCAGGAAAACACAGCCTATGGGGGACAGACAAAGAACTTGTCACAAGTCTGGAAAGTCGAGAGCTACGGCAGTTCGAGGATGGACGCCTGGCCTGGCTATGCACTGGGGCCATCAGGAGAGGTTTCCGGGAAGAGGTGATGCCTCAGCTGGTCCAAGAAGGCTTAGAAGGAGTTGGCCAGTGGCACAGAGCGGCCAGGACAAGTGGGAGGTGGGGGCTTAGTGGCTGGAGGGATGCCTGGATTGGGGAAGGGGCAGCCTCACGACTCTGTCCTCAGGCAGGCAGGGTCTGTGCTAGACTCCAAGTAAGGTCTGGATTAAGTGTGCCCACTGGCCAGCCCTGATCGCAGCCATCACTACTTCTCATCTACAGCTGCTTTCCCACAATGCTGCATAGACCCAACGGTCTGGAGAGCTGAACACACTTCGTGGTGCTTCACAAAGTCTGCAGATCCCTGCACTGGTGCAGGGGCCAGGGCTCGATGAAGTTCCTCAGATCTGCAGGGAAAAGGGCCAACTGAGGGACTGAGGCTCAAAGGAGAGAGGTGGGTAGAGCTGCCTTTTGTTCTGAGATGACTTAGAGCTGCATTTGTCTTGTTCCCCAGTCCAACCAGGATGAGGCACGCAGGTGTGACGCCTGATGTCGGGTCTCCCCGGATGTGAGTCTCTGCTTGTCTCCCCCCGCACCACCTCTCAAGACAGCTTCTCACTATGAGGCCTAGGCTGGCCTTGAATTCATGACAATCCTCCTACCTCGGTCTCCTGGGTACTGGGATTACAAGTTTGTACCACCTGGCACTTGTTGCTATGCGCAGTCTGACAGCTTCTCTAACCTCTTCGCGCCTCAGTTTCCTCATGTGCAAACTGGAGACAGCAGGAGTATCTACCTCACAGAACACAGAACCTGGGATAGAGCAAATGCTCAGCAGATAATTATAGAAGGAACAGATCCATTTAGGTGATGTTTCTAGATTACTGTGCTGGCCCCTCAGAGACCCACTCTGGAAGAAATCTGTTCTAAACTGGATCACGCCTCTCCCTGCCTTTGGGAACAGAATATACAAATGGTCACTTAAGCTCTTCTGAATAACCTGAGTCATTGCTATGACTATGGTGATTCTGCTGTGTGTCACAGCCATAGCTCGACCCTCCACAGGTGTTCCCAGCTGGCCCCTCTCTCCAGCAGCCCAAGTTAGAGTACTTGCCTCTGGAGCCCAGCTTCAATTCTATCCAGCAGTAGTTTCTTCCAAGAAACCACGTGATGATATTTGTTAGTTCTGTGTCCAAACTAAGAGTAAGTCAGTCCGGAGGGAGCCTAAGGGACTCTTGAGTAGACAACTCATGCTCCAGTGCTGACTGTACCTGGCCTTTTGCTGCCTTTACCCCTCCTGTGTAGGTGGCTGGGGAAGCACACGTTACCATTCCTGTTGCCACAAGCACAGCCCTGGCCCAAGACTCACCCCGTTCTCTGTGTGTGTTGTACTGAGGCTCAAATCCACAAGGACTACTCTGCCACCAAGCAACACCCCGGCCCCTTTTTACTTTGAGAAAGAGTCTCACTAAATTGTTCAGAGTGGAGTTGTACCTGTGATGCTTCTGCCTCAGCCTCCTCAAGGGCTGAGACTACTGACATGTGCCATGGCGTCCAGCAGACTCACCCAGCTTTTGGAACGACGTTCTTCAAATCTGTTGGTTGTATGTGACATTCCATCGCTCAGTGCAGACCCACCTGCTCTCTAAGACCTTAGCCTCCGAGAGCAGGGACCCTGCCTTGGCCATTCCTGTGAGACCTGCAAGGAGCAGACGCTCACCCACACGATGGTGTTGCTTACTGGGGAGCAGGGTTTGGGAGACACAGCATGGAAGAACACACACCATGAGGCCTGCCTGTTTCCAGGCCCCAGGGAAGGCCAAGGTGGCGGGGCAGAGGGCCTGCCTGTTCCCCACAGGAAAGCAGCTCTGGAGGGGCCCCTGGCATGTCTGTGGGCGTCCCTGTCTAGGAGGCTCACGCGCTACTTGGTGGAAAGCTGGTGCCTGCTACGGCTTCCTGAGGAGGAGCAGCACTCGGGGCAGGACTGGTCAATGTCTGAGGGCCCCAGACCAGTGGAAGCTTTGTCTCAGTGCTCAGACCTGCAGAGATGGAGAGACTCTCTCGGAGAGTGTATGTCCTCAGTGTTCCAGTCTCGTCTGGAGAAAGGAGACTCAGAGAGGCAAGGTGACTTGGTCAGGGCAGCCCAGCAGAGAGGGAGTTTCCACCTTAAAGCCGAGTGGCTTCCTGCAAGTGGTTGTTTGCCACTTCGTTTAACTGAAATCCTTGGAGGCAATAACCATGAAAAAAAAAAGTGGGTTGCTGTTCAGGGGAAGGGGGCCCCCACTTTGGATGCTAGGCGGTGCTGGGGTGAGGGGCTGAGGACCAGGAGGTGCTTCTCTGTGGGAGTCACAGGGTCCTGAGCCCCTGCCCTTCAAGCCACTCGGGTCACCTGCCCCCACCAAAGTTTACATCTCGGGAAGAATCATGAAGGTTGGTCACTAATGGGCTTTTGAGAGTTGTCACCCTCTTGTCGATAATTATAGAGCTTTAATGGGGCTAATTCAGAGAAAATCAAGCTGGAGTCCCCACTGGGTCCTCTAAGGCTGAACATCCCCCAGCTAGGCTGGCAGAGGCTGACAGCCTCGTTAGGACTTTAGTTTGCAGCCCAACTTGCCTGACCCACACACCCTTGGGAATAGGAAATCTTATCCTGGCTTTTTGTGTGTGTGTGTGTGTGTGTGTGTGTGTGTGTGTGTGTGTGTGTGTGTGTGTGTGTGTGTGTGTGTGTGTGTGTGTGTGTGTGTGTGTGTGTGTGTGTGTGTGTGTGTGAAGAAAAAATATAAACCTCTAAAATAATTTCTTTTTTAAACCCTGTGATAAGAACCACAGAAAATTATGAAGCCTGAGTTGAAAGCATTTCATAGCTGGGGAAATGGAGGCACTGAGTCAGGTAGGCACTGCAGGGGGACAGAGAAGTGACCTAATGTCCCTCCTTCCGAGGAGCTTAGAGACAGGTCTGGGACTTTTACAAATCTCCTTATTCCTCTGGTTTAAACTGTTCAGAGATTTTCTA